CACAAAAAGCGTCTGTCCTAATCTCGACTAGTGAAGTATGATTCAACGATTCAGTTGTTGGGTGAATCATGATCGAGGCTTCTATTTTGTTGAATGTGGGTGAGGGTGGGGTCGGATTTGCCTAACACCAAACATTCTTGCAACACTAAGATAGATTAGTCAGTCAGTGTAGGGGTGTGTGTGTGTGTATGTGCCTAGATTATGTTGCACGTATGAGGTGAAAGAACAGTCACACAGCAGCAGAAAAAGCCGCACCTCGCCATGAATTCAGTTCAGCAAATCGAGTAGGTAACACAAGTGAAGAAAATCAACACTATTTCGTGTAGATAAATAAAAATTCCTCCTTGTGGATTTCAGGCAACACTTTTTCCCAGTTGAAAAGGCCAACAGGTGCATAGAGTTATTTTTATCAAATGGCAGGCGTCTTGACGATAATCATTAGCCCTTTAGTTGACATCAGGCTTCACAGAGGAGAAGGAACATCAAAGTGAAAAAATGTCGCCAGGGGGTTGAGACAGAAGAGTGGTTCCAAAGTGAAAAAGGTTAAGATTGGGGGGGGGGACAGAAGAGTGTTTCATAGATGTTAAAAGAGACAGACACAAAGGTAGAAAAAGGTGAGGCGAGTACTGTGGAAGTGGTGGAATATGACATATAGTGAGGTGATGGTAATTTGAAGTCAGAAGTCAACTGCCGGTTAATAGATTTTTTGCCTCTAAGTATGCGTTGCCAAGGGTGCACCACGTAGAGGTAAGTCTATCCCACACCCCAAAGGCCACAAAAGTAGTTGTAGGTTATTTTTAAAATAGGTACTCATTTTTCTTTCTCTTTATTCGAAAATGAAACGTTTTTTCAATCGCAAATATCATAACACTTTCGAATTTATTGATTATTCTGACTAAAGTTGCTCTTTTCGCCCACAATTTTGTTTTTTTGGTATTTGATGTGAATTATATAAAAATTTATTTTAATCGTTTTTTATATTTATTTATGTTTTCATAGTTTCTTCTTCATCTGAATCTTTTTTTATTCTAGTTTTTTTCCAAACCTTGAAAGTTAGTGATATTTGTAAAATATACCCCTGGCCAAATTAAAGTGATATTTCCCAATATTTGAATTACATAGCAATTGTTATTTGTGCTGAAGTGCCTTATAGTACTTTATCGTCTCATTTCTAATGTCAATTCTATTTTTTGGTTCCAAAAGATATGCCAGGGTTTAACATTTTGATTTTGGGCAAAATTTCCACCTTTATTAGTAGCATGTCGTTTGACTGGGTGGTGATGATGGTGGTGGAATATACGATTTGACATTTTGATAGCAGTCTATTTATTCACATTGCTGCCTGCAATGCGTATAGCGGTTTTATATCAGTAAAATAGCTTTGTTTATATAGACATGGACACGTTGTAACGAGCTCGCTGTTTGTCTGATCGATGATTGTTTCACTGGTGGCCTTAGGCATGGAGTTTGAAAGGCGAGCAATTTGTGTTTGAAGATCCTATGCATGAGATATGAAGTTTGGCTGCTTCATTCATTCATTCGCTCAGTCACATTTTCGTACGCATTTTTCCAATATCACGTACCTAAGTCGCTACTGTTGTTTAATGTTGGCCCACTATTAATACCAGTGATTACGAGGAAAGCAGGTTGAGCTGGTGGATTCTTACTGAGGAATTCATTATAAATTACGATATTTCAAGGATGTAGTTTTCCCTTGATATACAAATTTATGCTATTAACCGTATTCAATAAAGGCCATACTTGAGAGTCTACGTTGATTAAACCGAAGTCAAGATTATTGCGTAATTCTAGGGAGGTTATGTCTAATCAAAGGATTAAGCAATTTATCCTTTTTTCATTAAAATAATCCTAAGGGCTTTGATTGTAGGTTAGAAGTTCAATGTACGAAATAGTCGATTCTTCCAGCGAAACCAATTCTGTACACAACTGAATCCCAAATTTCTTGATTTGATATCTTGGTTTCTGTAGATGTTCATCTCCGTGATAGAAAGAGCTTACTCATTAGATTACT